GAGGAGAATTATCCGACACATGATCTTGAGTTGGCAGCCGTAGTGTTCGCATTGAAAATTTGGCGACACTTTCTATACGGGGCCGATTTTATTGTCTACAGTGACCACAAAAGTCTAAAGTATCTGTTTGATCAGAAGGAGCTAAACATGAGGCAACGCCGATGGGTGGAATTTCTGAAGGATTATGATTTTGAATTGCAATATCACCCTGGTAAAGCCAATGTAGTAGCTGATGCTTTAAGCAGAAAGACGCTTGGTATGGCCAATTTGATGATTTCCGAGTATAACTTGATTGAGAAATTCAGGGATCTCCACATTCCTGTGAATACAGAAGATAGTCCACATTTATTGACTACTACGGTAGTCCTGAATTCATTAGTTGAGCGGATTAAAGAGGCTCAATTGCTTGATGAAGAGATTCAGTCTATGAAAGAGCAGGACTTTGTGTCCACTGATAGGTTCGGTCTTAAGTTTTACAAGGATCGGATCATTGTTCCAAAAGGTCAGATGGTAGATGAGGTATTAACTGAGGGTCACATGGGTAAGTACACTATCCATCCTGGTGCTACCAAGATGTACCAAGACTTGAAACGGAATTTCTGGTGGTCGGGAATGAAGAAAGACATTGCTCTATTTGTGAGTAAGTGTTTGACATGTCAGAAAGTTAAGATTGAGCATCAGAGACCTTCTGGATTACTGCAGCCCTTGGATATTCCGGAATGGAAATGGGTCAGTATTTCTATGGATTTTGTAGTAGCATTACCGAGAACTCAGGCTGGTTTTGATTCCATCTGGGTAGTTGTTGACAGATTGACAAAGTCTGCACATTTCATACCAGTTAAAACGAGTTTCTCCACAGAGCAGTTGGCTCGGATATATGTAAGAGAGATTGTGAAACTTCATGGTGTTCCTGAAAGTATCATTAGTGATCGGGACCCTAAATTTACTTCTAGACTCTGGGATGCAGTGCAACAGGCCTTCGGTACACAGTTGAGGCTGAGCACGGCTTATCATCCCCAGACTGATGGTCAGACTGAGAGGACTATTCAGACCCTGGAGGACATGTTGAGGGCTTGTGCCTTAGAGCAGGGAAATGCATGGGATAAATATCTTCCTCTAGTGGAATTTTCCTACAATAATAGTTATCATGCCAGTTTGGGCATGGCTCCGTATGAAGCTTTGTATGGCCGTAGGTGCAGGGCGCCTACTTGTTGGTCAGAAATTGGAGAGAGGCAGTTATTTGGGCCTGATATGGTCCAAGAGACTACCGATCAAATTATGATGATTAAGGATCGATTGAAGAAAGCACAGAGTCGCCAAAAGAGTTATTATGATGCAAAGCATAGACCCCTTGAATTTTCAGAAGGGGATCATGTATTTATCCGTTTGTCTCCGACTACGGGTGTTGGGCGTGCTCTAGGAGTGAAGAAGTTGAGTCCTAGGTTCATTGGGCCCTACCAGATTATGAAAAGGGTCGGACCTGTGGCTTATCAGCTTGCTTTACCTCCACATCTGTCAAATTTGCATAGTGTTTTTCACATCAGTCAACTTCGAAAATACGTGCCGGATGAATCCCACATTGTACAGCCGGACAATATCGAAGTAAGAAAAGACTTGAAGTTTGTTGTGGGACCGTTTAAGGTTCTAGCACGTGATGAAAAAGTGTTGAGAAACAGGACTATTCCCATGATCAAGGTACAATGGGAAGGATTGACTCCTGAGGACGCCACTTGGGAGCGGGAGAATGAAATTCTCCAGCGATATCCTGAGTTTGATGTCAGGTATATGTATATTTGATATTTGATTTTGTGGGCAAAATCCTTAAAAGGTGGGGTGAATATAATGACCCTAACTGGTAAATCTTAGTTAGAGATTTAATTTAAGGATTTAAATGCCATAATTAGATTCAGTGAGCGATTTCGAGTATTTTGACTGTAATCATGACTATGTTATGAACAGTGCGTTCTGCCGGAGAATTTACAGTTTTGTGAATTAACCGGTAGAGCTTAAAATGAGCAAAATAATTTTAGGAACATAATTTGAAAATTCTGATGACAAATATGAGTTCAGAACGAAAAATTGTATAGTCTGGCACTTTCCGTGAAAATCTCGTGAATAGTGTTTCTACCGGGTATTTTGTACTGCTGTTTAAGCAACCGGTAGAGTCCAGAAATAAATAATTGATGAAATAAGAATAAGAAAGTCCAATATATGCCAAGCAAGTCAATATAGGCCCAAGAAAATGATAAGTTTATAAGTGTTAAGTTTCAGAATTAAATAAAGTACAGTTAGTGGTTCACAGTGCATTTCGTTAAAAACGGTGCAAAAACCATACTGTGAATTATGAATATTGTTCCTTAGGAAATAAAAATTAATTTAAATAACTTTAGAAAAATAAAAATATATCCGTAGCTTTAAGTTAAGTTTCCGGTAAATTTAAGTGAAATACGCGATAGAAAAACATCCGACAAAAGGGCCACATGTGCCTAAATAGCTTGGCCACTTAAATGAATCACTATTCATTGCAAAAATTTCTTCTTCTCTCTCTTGAAGGGCCGAGCTTCAGCCATGGAAAAGGGGGGGGTTAGGGTTTTGCTTGTTTTGTTGATTTCTTCTTGAATTCTCAACCAAATCTTATGACCCACCACTTGAAATTGATTAGGAACCACTCAAGGAATCATTTGCACCTATCCATTTGAGCTATAGTTGAGTGTGTGAAGAGTTATTCCTCCTCTTATTTTCGGATTACTATTCATAGGAGGAGAAAAAGTGGGTTTTTGATGGAGCTTTGCTTGGAGGTTATTCTCTAGGCTTTGTACAAGTGATTAGAGGTAAGAAACCTTTATTTCTATGGTATTATTTTGTGATCTATGTTTTGAAAATTTGGAGCATGTTTTGAGTGGGAAATATTTGATGTTAGAAGGTGAAAATTATGATGGATTGTTGTTGTATAGGAATGATAGTGTTTAGTAAGCATTAATTTGTGATAAAAAAATTGAAAAGCCCTAGTGCACTCTTCCCCTAGGTTTCGGCCTTCATGGCTTATATAGGGTTTATCATGCAAATTTTTATTGTATGTTTGAAAAGGTAAAATATGTTGGAATGTAGTGTAAATGGATTAATTGGTGGAAATGCCAAAGTTAGAAAAAAATCCTACAAATACTTGCTCTATGTTGCGAACTATAGGATGTTTAGGGGTATATATATATATTGGTTACATTTTATTCTAATAAAATGGGTTGCATTTTAATATACCAATGGATGAGCTAAGAAGTGAAATGCTTTGACAAATGGTTGAAAAATACCTTGAGTCCCTAAGGGTACGCCCGCGACTTTTAAAGAAAAATAACATGATTTATGTGAAAGATTCTTAAGTAAATGCTTGATTAAATTAAAGAACGCCAACGGGTGTATAGAGGTCTAGACTTGTGTATTGGCATAGAATTGGCAAAAATATAAAGAAAGGAAAATAAGCGATAAAATGTATGCTTATGAAATAATCATGGTATTGCATCATTTTATTGATGCATTGTAAATTATTCTCTAGGTGTGCCTAGGGATTGAGAAGGATCGGAAATCTCTTGAAGCGATAAAAGTAACTTGTTCCACAAGTAAGCGTATTGGTAAAGCTTCAAGAGGTAAGCTCTATGTTTAAGGAGTCTTTTCCTACTTGAGTGCTCCACCATGGTTAGTGAACTATGGTTGGACTGTATGACTGTGATTTAGATGCTTTGTATAGATGCATTCATATAGAGTTATTTGATAACATGATATGTTTTGCTCTGATATGACTTCTGTAATATGATTTCTGTAACAATCTCTGGCCATTGATTGTATAGTACCCGGACGTCCGCTTTGGGGTCCTCCCTCGGGACTGATGGTGTACTCCTCTGATATGTCTGGTTCCGCTTTGGGGTCCTCCCTCGGGAACACGTGCGTTGATTTCCGCTTGGGGTCCTCCCTTGGGAATGACGGCGCACATCTCTGATATGATATGGATATATGCTCTGTTCTGTTATGATATCTGTTATATGTTGTATTTGTATACTCTGTATCTGAATTTCATGCAGGAGTGAGCCAGGGGTATGGAGAATTCTCTATAAACCTGGAGCTTATTGAGATTTGTAATCTCACCCCTCTTTGGGGACACATTTTCAGGGGCCCAGATTTCCGGTGAGTCCTCACTAGGCAGGGACACGACACGTGGCTGAGGCAGTTGACAGACCGGATTTTGAGTGGCTGTAGGCTACTACCTTTTTGGAGTGTTTGATGTATTTTAGTATTTTCGCATTTGATGGATCATGATATTGATCCTTTATTTTGTATATGGCCTGTATATGTTTTGTACATGTCTATCAGTTTGATGCATGTACATTTGAGTATTCAGGAACGTTATATGATGATGTAGTATTCAGATAGGTTTATGTTTTGATGGCATGCTGTTAGATTTAGTGGCACGGAGCCATGTTATGCATGCGCCCATGTATGGGTATTTGATTATATTTGGATATCTGGCATTTCTGAATTGATATGTTGTATAAACTGTTTATCAGGAAATGCTTCTGAGTGGGATTGGAAAATCCCCAGTTGTCCGATTTATAGAGGAAACTCTGCCCGATTTTCGTTTACGCCGAGTAAGAATTAAGTTAGAAAAAGAAAAAGTTAGCTCATATTTTTGTAAGTTAAGTCTTCCGCTGTTTCTGTTTGTATCATATGTATGTTAATTGAACCGGCTCGAGACGGGGATGTTACAGAAACAAAACGGTAACGTCCTATTAACGATTGAGTGTGTAATTAAACGTAATATGTGTAAAAGTCATTATTTTCACCCTTTCTATATATATATATATATATATATATATATATATATATATATATATATATATCTGCATTACTTGTTACTAAACTCCTTTCAACAAGTCTTTCTATATTTAAAGAAGTTTTAGCACAACTAAATCTTATGAACAAGTACCTCATTTATTATTCTCTCTAGTCCCAATTGTTCAACATTTTTTTATAGCAGTAAGCAAGAGCTCCCAAATCATACTAATGTTTTATGAGTCAGCTTGCAACTTACATTATATTATTCTATCTTAGTAATAAACAAAAGTGCACTCTTATCATAATTTGCAATCAGGCAGTGGTGAAAGCTTAATGGGATCCAGGCCATAGTTTAGTTGAAAATGCATGTTCACTGGTGCTACCTCTAGACAAACTTCTCAACTTCTGCCAGAATTGCCTTTTCTTCCCAGTAGTTAGAGGCCCTGAAGTAGAATACCTCCTGAATGACTCAAATTCCTGGCCTGAATTACTGAGAAGCTCTGAAGCTGATAATGCTACCTTTTCTTCACCAGATTGATATCCAGATAGGGTTTTTTGATCCTCCAAAAAGTCCACTCTCTCAACTGAAACTCCAGAAAACTTCCCTTCCACATCAGTTACAAGAAGACCCTCTTCTTGAAAAATCCTTGTTTCCTCAAACTCACTGCATACCAGCTTCAAAGCCTGAACAACTTCACCCATGAAAGGACGTTGAGACACTTCTGGTTGCACACACATGGATGCAATTGCTGCAACTTTTACCACAGTATCAACAGAAATGAGGGGCTTTACAACCGGGTCTATGATCATCTGTAAACCCTCCTTACTTGTAAGAAGTGGACGAACCCAAGTCACAAGATTTTCTTGACCTGGTGGTTGTGACAAATCCACAGGCTTTCTTCCAGTTAGGAGCTCAAGGAGTACAACTCCATAACTGTAAACATCACTTTTGACAAGAAGATGGCCTGTCATTGCATATTCAGGAGCTAAATAGCTGCAAAACAAAATGTGAATGAGATGAATTTAATTTTGATCTAGAGAAATTGTTAAAAACTATAATAAAAACATTTACGTGACTTCACCAAACAACTTAAGCTTTTAAGAGAGTTGATTCATGATATGAAATTAAAGCCTTCATAATCAAGTAGTCTAAAGTACAATCTTTGTCACCTCCATTCTTATGAGGGGGAGTGTTAAGAGTTGTAATATTACCGTTCATTATGTTGACCCAACAGTTTAAGCTTTTCAGAGAGGAGTTTATGAAAGCAATGCACAGAAAAGGCAAAGTACCCATATAATAAAATGCACTGGTCTGCTAAGCACCAAAGATACTGTAATGATCTGAGTTACATTGCAAGCATGTTTAACTATCACATTCATCAAATCATCAATATGAAGGGGCCAGCAAGGTTTTATTACCCAAATGTTCCCATGACATGTGTGGAGATGTGCTTGTTTCCCTCATCCAGTGCTGTTCTAGCCAATCCAAAATCTGAAACCTTGGGTATAAAATCATATTCCAACAAGATATTGCTGGACTTGAAGTCCCGATGTATGACACATGGATTTGAATCTTCATGCAGATAAGCCAATCCCCGAGCTGCACCAAGTGCAATCTTCATCCGGGCATTCCAATCCAGTGGATCAGTTTCCTTGTCAGCACCTAGGAAAATAAATAGCATTCAAAAGTCAATCTCTGAAAAGAAATGATGACTTTTAACTTCTAAAAGTGTTGATGAAATTCTTGAACTGTGCTTTTGCTTACCATGTAAGTGGGATTCCACACTTCCATTAGGGACAAGTTCATAGACTAGGCAGCGAGTATGTTTCTCTATGCATATACCTATCAATTTTACTAGATTTCTATGGTGGAGGCGGCTAAGCATCTCAACTTCTGCCAAGAATTCACGGCCACCACGTTGATCATCTCTTTTGAGAATCTTCACTGCTACATCCCTCCCATCATTTAGAATACCTTTGTAAACAAGTCCAAAGCCACCTTCTCCTAATATTCTTGAAGAATCGAAGTTATTTGTTGCTTTCTCTAAATCACTCAAAGTAAAAATCTTAGCAGACCCTGTATATGTTATTGTTCCAGAATTGAAGGATAGTGATCCAGAACCTTGCATGACCCCATGAGACAATGACCTTGCAGCCCCTGCTAAGTGTAAATTTAGTTATATATTTACAGTGAAATCCACTTACAACCAAAGATTGAATAACAACTTGATGGATGGGGACCCTAAAAAATAAATAGCTAAGGAATTTCAAAGCAAAATATCAAGAACAAAAGTCACAAATAGAAACAAAGTCCTGAATTAGCATTATAACCCACCTTTAGTCACACTTCAGCTTTAGACTTGAAAAGAACTCATTTCATTAAGAAATTATTCAAAAGTGGTAGATTACAAATCATAAAATATTTCACATGAAACCATTTCTAAATATATCGAATTCTTAAACTAATATAATGAAAACCAAGTTTTATAACAGAATTTATTTATAAATGAAATTAATTCTTTCATTATAAAGATTCTAAACACAGGGTAAAAGAATTTCTAATCAAGGGAAATTAGTATGTTACAAAATTGTCCGACAAATGAACAGTCTTATGATACTTATGATTATAGAAAACAAGAACTTTCTTTGATCTGTATCTAAACTGCCAACAAAATTTTGACAGAGTCATTAATTGGACTTACTTGATTGTTTTGAAGAGGATGAAATTAAACCATCTGGAACTTGTTTATGTTCATGAACACAGGAACCACATTTCAACAGACAAAGCCAAGCAAGCCCAATGAATAGAACAAAAGCAATAATTGATGATAACACAATTATAACAATCATTCTTTCATTACTCCCTTCATTTTTCTTTTTTGAGATATCTACTCCTAAAGGTTTCACTATAGTTCCATTGTTGTCACGACCAGGATTTGGCCCATCATCTATACCAGAAACACCTGAGGGAGTTGAAGGTGGAGATGGTGGAAGACCTGCATGCATTATCCAAAAGTATAAATCTAGAGGGAGATATCTACTAATGAAACCAAACATACTATACAAATTCACTTTATAACAAAAATAGTCCTAACAAACTCGTAATCAATGTATAACCTGGATAATGAACATAAAGTACTTCATAAGCACCAAAGAGTGAAGCATCTATTAGGATCTCCCTTTGCCAGAATTTCTTATATATTAAAAATGCTGTGGTATCTTCAAATTTTACTCCTATGGGTACCAAGTTTATGAGAACAGTGGTTTTCTCCAGTTGCTGATTAGCTGCATCAGCTCCCACAATGCGAACTTGGCTATGGTTGAGCCAAACGCTTGCTGCAATTTCCTCAGCTAGCTTTGAAACCAAAGGAAAAAACTTGTATATTGCAATGCTGATGCAGAGTTTTACTTGAAGTGGCCATACACAACCACAAGGTGATCCAGGAGGTGTATATGTCAAGGGCTCTGAGCAAATCACTGACAAGCAATCTACAGGTATGATCCATATCACATAGCTTTCTTGAGAAATGAGATGATTGAAAAGGAAGGAACAAGTGTAATTTATACAATCCTCTAAGCCAATGCAGGTGCAGGATTTAAGTTAAGATTACCCTTATTAGGAGGTGGAGGTGGCAGAACCAATGCATATGCAGGTGGTGGAGTCTTTATCTTCTTCAATGATGATCCTAGAGGTGAAATTCTAGGTGAAGGAGAGGGCACTAATGAACAAAAGATATAATAAACAGTCAGGTACTAATCAACAATCAAGGTACGTGAAATATATTAATTCAATTAAAAGCAATAACAAAAATAAGGTGTTAAACCATCCAGGTGGCCTGACAGAACTGCTGGTGATGGTGCAGGTGCAGGTGCATCGATATCCCTGCTCTTTGGTGAAGAGAAAGGAGGTTGCGATTTGAAGACTGAAGGACCTATATTTTCAAGAGAAGTTAGAGAAGAAATGTAATTAATTTTGATATTTTGATGTCAAAGATGTAAAAATTGTGTGATAATTTTGTATAAGCTCTTTCAATCAGAGAATCAAACCTTGATGGCTGTAAGTGGGAGCCTGGATTGGGTAGGCTGGTCCTGGAGTTGGTTTGCTGGACTTTCTTTTGGAATAGTGATGTTTATGATGTGATATTGGAGAATCCACAGGACCATGCATCCATTTCTTTGTAGGAGCTTTGAGAATTGACTTGGAAGGTGGAAGTGCAATACTTGTAGGAACACCAGAAGATGAATGGGAAGGTGGTTGAGAAATACTTGAAGGAACTTCAGAAGATGATTTTGATGGTGAGAATGCATTAACAAAATGGCTTCTGGCTCTGGAATGGCGCAGATTGGTGGCTACAGATGGAAAGAAAAATTTTAATTTAGGATAATAATAGGCATAAAATCTCCTATCATTGATTGTCTAGACCTTATTAATGATCTTCAACCTGGTTTCAGGGTATGTCTAGTTCTTAGAAAGCTAAATTCCTCAGAGTAACTGCTGGGATTAATTTACCCAAAACTTTCTATGTTCTCATGGATTTTGTACCACTGCCATGGCCTATTGGGATTTCATTTCAACCTTGTTACAGAAATAACCAGGTACATTTTAATTCTGAATTACAAAACAAAACATTGATTTGTAAGTTGATAGTATCACTGACTTCTCCAATCTATGGCTCAAGCTGCACTTCTTATCAGCAGGCACTGAAAATCAAAGCAGTAAGAACATTTGTTGTATATTGATGTTTCTTTGTAGTCTATAATTTTTACCAAAAATATGACATTTGATTCAGTGGTTGGCTAGCTTGAAGAAATCTAAGATATATCAATGAGATGAGTATACACAAAAATTATGAACAACATTTCATTTTCATCAATAATTTTAAAACTAACTCAGAACACCTGAATTATGATCATACCTGCATGTTCATGAAGCTGTTGAGTACTAACAACTAAATGTAGCTTAATTAGCAGGAAAATCAGCTGTAGTCCCATTTTCTTCCTAAGGAAAACTAGATCAATTCTGAAGATCTCTCAGCTTTCACAAACAATCCAAGGAGAATATAATTGAAGAGAATTTGGTGGAAGCAGCATCATATGCTGAAGCAAAACTTGGATGTCAAAGTCAAGGATAGCCATAAGAAAGTCTGCAATTAAAGCATACCCCTCAATAATGTCAACCAAGAAGACACAGCCCGGTAATGGCGCAAGGATAATTTTGGTAGAAGACACCAAAGTTTCCTCCTTTTTTCAGAACTGAAGCTCTAAGATTTGCAGACATGACAATTGTGAAACAACAATTTTCATTGTTGTTAAGAAAAATCTAAGAAGAGATGAAACCAAAAAGCACTCCTTCAGTACACTTTAACTAAAAGCACAGTGAGAGTTGGTGGGGTTGTACATGTGTGACACAGTGTGAGTGTGCTTGATTGAAAGAGAGAGAGAGAGAGCCATAAATATTGACCATAAAGTAAGAAACTGATTGAATTAATTATAACCTTAATGCTTGACACTCTTTTCAGTTTATCCAGACAATGATTCACCCCAAAAGAAAGTGTAAATTACATCTTGTTTCTGATTTTGACTTGTTTTTATTTTATCACAAGTTGTTTAAAATTTAACCTCTTACATTTGTTTTGTTTCATTAACCTTTTATAATGAAGACCCATTTATATAAATTGAGGAACCAACAATATATTGTTGGACTTTACTTAAATGATGGTGACAAATTAAGGATGAACAGAATTTAATTCACAAATCAAATCAACACTAGTTCAATGTTATTATCCTTTTAAAACTATTGATGTTTTTGCTTACATTTATTTGAAATTGTTTTACTTATTAATTAATTGTAGGACCGAGACAGATTTTTCTGGGATATTTTTCTCTTTTTCCCCCCTTCTTAGATACTCCAATTATTTTTAGTTGGATATACTTATAAAATTACATTTTTTTTTTAGCCAAGTGTTTCATAATGATCCATTGATATTGCAGATATTTACCTTATATTAATTAATCAAGAATTCTGTTTATGTACTCAGTACCAGTTTAGCAATTATTCAAAAGGGAAAATATTTTTTCCTTTTTGAAAGAGAAATTTTTTCTCATGGTAGTGACTCATAGCAAAAGTGGGTCCTACTTTAATTTTTTTTTCTCCACTATTTTGTGGGTCCCACTTATACTATGAGTCATTAACATGAGAAAATTTTTCTCCTTTAAAGGGAGAAAATGTTTTCCCTTATTCATAAATCATAATCAACATGTCAATTTTTATTACCTGAATAACCAGATATTAACTTAGGAATACAGAAAGAAAATAGTTGAGCCAAGTAAGGTGGACAAAAAAATTTAAATATTGTTTTTTTAATAAATAATTACGCAAATATAATTGTTTTGAAACTATTTACGCAGGTGTAACAGTCAAACACGCCCACATGGAGCGTGACCCAGTGGAGAGAGACACGCCTATGTGGGGCATGAGTCATACGAGAGACATGCCCACATAGAGCGTGATCAGGAGAGAGACACGCCCAACAGGGGCGTGAGTGGTTTGGAGAGAGACACTCTCCATTTGGGCGTGACCGAGGAGAGAGATACTCCCATGTGGGGCGTGTTTCACCAGATGTTGCCACGTGTCACAAAAGTCGACAGTTTGACCATGAAACTTTGAAAGTCCATAACTTTTGACTCGGGTGTCCGAATCAGGTAAAAAAAATTTATTCCACATAACTTTTCGAGATCTATGTAATGACACCTCATTTGACATATTTTGTCTCTCGCGAAAAAAATTAAATTTATAACAATAATACTATAAGAACGTTTAAACCCAATTTAATAAAGAGAAAACCACTTTTTAATGAGGAGAAGGTTAAAACCCAAATTAATAAAGAAGTAGTAACTATAACCTTCTCCTATTTTTTAAACGTTCTTATTAATTTGGGTTTAAACGTTCTTATGGTATCATTGTTGTAAATTCAATTTTTTTTTGTGACAGACAAAATATGCCAAATGAGATGTCATTACGTAGATCTCGAAAAGTTATGTGGAATCAAATTTTTTTTATCTAATTCGGACACTCGAGTCAAAAGTTATGGACTTCCAAAGTTTTGTGGTCAAACTGTTGACTTTTGTGCCACGTGGCAGTACCTTATGAAACACGCCCCAATGGGGAATAAATCTTTGGTGCTACTGTAGCACCAAGATTCAGTGGATCATATCAATGGAAGCATTACATGTCATAGGAGAGAGAGAAAAATTTACAGAGAAAAAAAAATTTAGCTGACATGTAATATTTTAATTGGTAGGATGTACTGAATCTTTGGTGCTACAGTAGCACCAAAGATTTATTCCCCAATGGGGAGTGTCTCTCTCCTTAGTCGCGCCCAAATTGGGAGTGTCTCTCTCCTCGGTCACGCCCAAATGGGGAGTGTCTATCTCCAACCGGTCATGCCCATGTGGGGCGTGTTTGACTGCTATACTTGCGTAAATAGTTTCAAAACGACTACATTTGCGTAATTATTTATTAAAAATGTAATAAATTATTTTTTTGCCAAATAAGGTGATATATATAATTTTATTTCCTATACACACGTGAGATTTATATTAAATTTTTTATTTTTCTTCTTTTTATAAGATCCCATATGAGTTTTACACATTTCTATGTATGTATAGAAGATAAAATTATCTCGTACAATATAAGAAAAAACAATATATATATATATATGAGATAAAATCAACCTACAGCGGTGTAAGAATAATAAATCTTACACAAGTTCTTAATCGTTGATTTTCGTATATCTAACGATTGTAAGTTATTGGAAATTAATAATTAATTAATAATTCAATACAACAGTCATACACGAAAAAAAATATTATTCAGATACATGAAAATTAATGGCTAAGATTTGACCTAAGACTTATTATTTTTATGCCGATGTAAGAAAATCTTACCCTATATGAGATAAGATTAATTTACATTAGTGTAATTTGTGGTGTAATATATGAGAAAAGTGTTTGTCATTTTAAGAGAGAGATAGACACAAAATAAAAAAATTTATTTAAAATTTAAATTAAAAAAAAATCACTCACTTTCTCGTCTCATGATTTTCATTCTTTGTATCTATCTCTCTCATAAAATGACATAACTTAAATCATTTAAAATGACAATCATCAAACCCGTAATATATATATATATATATATATATATATATATATATATATATATATATATATATATATATATATGGTTCCATTTTTTTGTAGCTGTGACAAAAAGATTTATCTACCATAGATACATATTCACCAAGATTTGCTTATAGATTTTTTAAAAAATCCATCATCATATATATATATATACATATATATATATATATATATATATGGTTCCATTTTTTTTAGTTGTGACAAAAAAATTCATTTACTATAGATACATATTCACCAAGATTCGCTTATAATTTTTTTTTTTTTAAATCCATCATCAAATTCAAATAAAAATATATTTATGGCAGATAAAATCTTTTTCCTGCAAATGCAAAAATATTTTTGCCATATATATATATATATAGTCAGGATCTATTGATACCGGTGTCAAATTTGAAATTTGACACCTTATCTAAGAGTCGTTAGATCAAAAAAGATCAACGACTCTGATTTGTAAGCATGTGACGATCTAACGGCTCTTAGATGAGGTGTCAAACTTCAAATTTGATACCGGTGTCAAAGAATCTTACCTCATATATATATATATATATATATATATATATATATTGTGACGGTGTCCCTACTAAAGACAGAACTACGAGATTTGGTTAGTTGTTTTAGAATGTAGTGTCGGACTCTGACAATTGCTTTATTACCACCCTCCACCATAAGTCCATAACCATTGTTGACTGTGACAGAAAGCATTGCCACACACAAACACGAGTTCCCAACTGTCGGTGATTTTGCTCAACGCTAATTTTTCGCCACCCAATTGGAAAATGACAAAACCTCAATGTGGATCAAATAATTGGAAGCTAAATCAAAATAATGCACGTCGTATCAATACTCGTACAAATAGAAAACAACCTTCAAGTTACTCTTCAAAAATTGTTCTCTTTTCCTATTGAAGACTATCTTGACAATAAAACAAAAAATGTGAAGAAAAGAGGCATACAAATAAGTGATAATTTTTTTGATGAAAACATGAGCTATCATAAACAGTCAATAATTGTCTACCAAAAAAAAAGGTCAATAATTTCTTTACACTAATTTTTGCTAAATTAATAAATTGATAGCTCCATAAACAAAAAAAAAAAGCTAATTACCATATCATAGAGCAAAGATTCAGCAACCGATATTTCAATGGGTACCATGATTTCATTGGGTTCAATTAGGGATGTAAATAGGTTAAGTTAGGCTAAACTTTGGCTTAAATAGGTCTAGTCTATGTAAAAAACATTGGGTATAGCCTGACCTATTAGCCTGTGTAGGCTCCAAATTATAAGTCAGGCCTGACTTGTATTTAAAAAATAAAAGCCTTGACCTTAGCCTAGGCTTGTTAGTCTGTTTAAGCCTATTAAACATTCAATAATTAAAAGAATAACTAAAATAATATTATTTTATTATTCAATTTATTATATTTTAAATAAATAATATTATATATGCCGGCTTATAGGTTTATAGGCTAAACATGTACAAAAAAGTTTATGACCTATTTTCTAAATAGATTTTTTTTAAAAGCCTATGTTTGTTCTATTTTACTATTTATAATAGGTCAAGTTTGACATAATATAGGCTAGGCCGTACACCCCTGTAGGCCAACTTAATCCATTTACTCCCCTAGGTTCAGCCTTCAAATAGTCCTTTGTGTTTTTGTTTAGTTAACACCGTGAGGTTAAATTGTTGAAGGCTTAACAACATGGACCATAGAACTAGGCTTTTATAGTTTAGATTGGGCTTCTTTAAGATCGGCAAGTGATGAATAATGGGCTCAATTATTGGAAATTAAGATATGCAAGTCCAAGACCAATTATTTCTAAGCTTGTACTGGTTGCTTTAAGTCAT